AGATATTTTTGCAGTAATGGATAATTGAATAACTCTGTGTTTGAAACAGTATGTAAGTATGAAACAGTGCTGTAAATAAATCAATACCAAGATACTAACCAGTGCTAAAAGTATTAGTGATACCACACACTCATTTGATGGAAACTGGAATTACAAACAAAACAAAACAAAAAAAAAACATAAATGGGACAAACCATGTTAATATAACAGCATCCAGAGCTGAGCTTGGTCAGGGTCACTCATGGTGCAGATGAGTGCCCAGAGGAAAACCTGACATGGAGAAGAACAAGCAACCTCTGCACAAAGACCAGAAGTCAAACTTACAATCCTGCTGTGTGACTGTTAACCTCTCCATCAATGCACACAAATGTGTTTTTGATTATTGTGATACTGATTTTTGAGTTTGTTTTTTTTTAAGCAATGTGACAAGTTGAGTATGAACAATGTTATCCACACAGTTAGTTATTTTATTTAGAACTGTCTGTGGATGAATGGAGTTATTTTGACTTTAAGAGCTGCTTATACAATATATCTGTACAGAGACGTGGGGGAGCGGGCACAGCATGTCTACAACATGTTTACAACTATTTCACAAACCTAAAGAATAAACAGAGAGTGGTAAACGTGCACAGGGACATGTCCTGCAGCGTATGGTGTGATTCCAAACACACACACACAGGTTTGTGTGTTGGATCAGGGCTCAGGGCTCATGCTGCTGACACAATGAGAGCAGTCAGCACACAGAGGAGATGTGAGTGGACAGGACAATCACACAGACACAAACATGGAGGGACGAGGGACATGCATGTCCCAGTGCAGTTACTTTTCATATTTCAACCTTTTTATGAAACCCATTCTCATACTTTTACCTTTTCCATCAGTCTAGTGGCAGTTTGTGAATTTTAGAGGGAAAAGTGGATCAGAAAGTAGAGCTGAGTTGTAAAAAGGAATATTTCCTGATCCTTCATATACAAAATTTCACTGGAAACAGTTTGGACAATTTAAGATCAAGGAACAGATTTTCTGACAGTGTACACATTCATTTTACAAAAGAACGGTGCCATGTGTTATTTATCAAATCCTAACTACTGCATTAATGAAAGTTTACTTTTGGCCCTTTTTTGACATTATTGTTGCTATAGGAAACTGTTTTAAAATGACATCAATCTTATGTCACATGTGCTGCCCATGTCCAACCAGAGAACAACAAAACTGTGAAAACTAGGTTAGGTCTGTGGGCAGTTTGAAGTACTTCTTCTCCCACACTTGGAACACACTCAGTATGTTTGTCATTTCAAGGGCTCATGTTACATTATTTTGTGATCTATGTTCTAATGTCATGTCCTCATCAAAAACATACATTCATGCATATTTGAACACACAGATCATGAATATTTAGCTGGAGGTGTGTCAAACTGAAAACACCTTGTGATGTCATAAGATAATACAGGAAGTACTCCACTGTATTTTGAAACTCAAAATACAGGGGAGTACACAAATCTGGTGCCAGTCTTTACTGATCGAAAGGTAAAAGGAGCTGTTGAAAACTACTGTTTCATGACATCACAAGGCAGAGCAGAGCATCTGGACATGTAGACACATGTAATAATAAAGTGTTACTCAAACATGTGTGAATGAAATAAAACAGGGATGTTTTTGATGAGGAACATTCTAACATGACATAAAGTTCACAAGAGTCAATAGTGAGTAATAGGACCTTAAATACTAAGGACTGTGTGGATTACACAGTTGGTCTGACCTGGGCTTGATGGTGGGGTTCATCCTCAGAGGGAACAGCCCCAAGTCGATGTCCTTACAGTCTGGGTTAAACTCCAGTGCTCCGGACACATACATGAGGAAATAGTCCCACAGCTCAGGAAGCTTCTTGGAGTTCAGGATCATGTTGACTCTTGGGTTGGAAACTGTCCTTGCGTAAGAAAAACTGGTCTCCAGACTCTCTAAGAAGCTTTCCTTGGGTTCTTTGCGAGTCTCTTTGAAGGTGAAGCAAACTTTGGTGTCCTCAGTTTTGTCTTTAAGTGAGACTTGGCTTTCCTTGGACTGTTTATGAAGGCATTTCTGTCATAATCTTTACTGGATCTAGGTACTTTTTGGGGGTCTTAGGGTGGAATCTCTAGAGAGCTATCTTGGGTTGTCTGCAAGTCTGTCTTAAGGTCAACTTTGGTGTCCTCAGTTTTCTCTTGATGCGACTTGAGTATCCTTGGACTTTTTGTGAAGGCAATTCTGATACAACCTTTACTGTCCTCAGGCTTTCAAACTTTCTCTGTGGGAACTTGGGTACATCTTGGGTCTTTTAGGGGCTCTGTTCAGCTAGAGCAAACTTGGGTGTTGTTGGTGTATTGAGCTCTCTATGAAAAAAGTTGATGTCCTCAGGGTCTTGGAGGAGGGACGTGGGTCCTTCAGGTCAGGAACACTTGGGTATCCTTGGGCTCTTTATGGAGTTGTACTCAGATGTGACAAACGTCAGTGTTCTCTGATGTGGGTCTAGTACGTAAAGGTTGTTGTCTTCAGGCTTTCCGGGAAAGACTTTTGGGGTCTTTAGGGGGCTGTCTTCAAATGAAGCAAAGTTATGGAGTTATAATAAGATGTGACAAACTTCATTGTTCTTGAGCTCTCAGCTGTGATCCTCAGTTGCGGGGCTCTTGGTGGGAGTCTTGGTGGGGCTGTACGAAGAGTTATCCTAAAATGGGTCAAGTTTGGGTATCCTTGGGGTTCCACGAGAATCTTCGGGTGGGGTCAACTTGAATGTCCTGCTCTTAGAATGGGAACTGTGTTTAAGTGTCGCTTCCTCAGACTCGAGACAACCTGCAGCAGCACACCCCTCTGATCTGAGCCCGCCCACTCAGCAGTGCATTAATTCCACCCCCTCACATCTCAAGGTGGGGCACTGACTCATTGCAATTCTTGATTAATGCTGCCGAGGGCAATTTAGACTGCTCTCCTCAATATCAGAAGAACAGCCTGAGATAGTCCCTAAGAGCCTGAGATAGACTCCCAACAGTCTTTGTGATTTTATATATATATATATATATATATGTATTACAAGGGCTGTACCTGATGTTTACCATCTTAAAATCTTAAAAAATTATAATAATAATAATAATAAAAATTTAAATAAAATAACAAAAAAGCAAAAACACAATCATCAAGGAATCATCTCATCACTTTTATAACTGTTGTAATATTTGTGTGTTACATTCATGTTGTCACATGTTTATCCATTTACATGAATTGTCCCAATCAAATCAATCAAGAAACAAATTACAATTAATGACACAACTGTGGACCTCCGCTGACCTCAGCACATGTGAAGCTTGGTGTTTTAGGACAATGGATGGAAATGAGTCTTAGGTTCATGTTGTGTCATGTTTGTTCATTAACTTGCTCTGTCCCAGTCACATAAATAAATAAAATACATGTGTTCCTTGTGGAAGGAGTTCTTTTGTAGTAGTATATAAGATATAAAATATGTGTAAAACTCCACATACTGCCAGAGAGCTGCATAACCACTTCCCAACAATAAAACCAAATAAATAATACAAATCTTGTGTCTGTCACAATTACATAAAAACGGGGGCTCTTTAGTTCTGCAGTTTTGAACAGGAACTCATAGGTTCTGCTTCTGTTCTGAAGCTGGTCATGGTGACTTCTTTAAAGGTGCACTGTGTCACTTTTTCTGGTGAGGCATCTACCTCTCTACCACTGCAAGAAGATATCACTGAACATTTACACTAACAAAGTGTGCAAGACAACTAATGCCACACTGTGGAACTGTTGAATGGCTTCCTAACATGGATGATACTGAACTGGACTTCACATCTGAAAACAATTGAATCTTTTACTATCTTTTACAATAGTTTATGTATTTACATTATAATGATTAATGCTGAATCGGCACAGAAGAAGAGAGGACAACCAGAGTGCGAGCTCTGTGAAAAACAAAACCAAACATATTTGACATCATAATAATAGTTTGTTTTGTAGTTATTAATATTGTCGTGCAATATTTTATTTAGATTCTGCGTTATTTCAAAAAGTAAACTCCCATTCTCAGTTTGAACCATTTGAAACAAATCTGAGCCTTGGTCATTTCTCTGTGATGAGTCTGATGAAAACTGATATTGTGGTAAGATTTCTCTCCATGTGTCTTTGTGCACATGGATGTGATTTGTACCTGAGACCAGAGCTTCATTCACATGTGTAAAGACTCAGAGGACATGACTGTCCCACCCTCAGGACACTCTGTGTTGTCCTGTCCTTAAATGTAGATTGTACTTGACAGCACAGGTCTGTGAAACAAAAGTCTGTTTGATCTGTATGTAACTTGTATTTGTGTATAAATATTCAGAGCTCAGCTGCTCAGGGGAGATGGAGAGAAGGTGTAAGTGGAGAGAGGAGACTGGTGAGAGGCTGTTGGTCTGTGCTCAAGGCCTTGGCTCTGTCCATATCTGCACAACAACAATAAAACAATAAACCTTTGTCTGTATTCCAAAAACTCATTGGGCTTCGCAAAGGGATTAATTTGATTTTTTTATTTGATTTTTTTTTTTTCAAGATCTATAAATATATATATATATATATTTTTTTTTTTTTCCACAACATGAGTTTGTAGATTCAATGAGTTCTAACACTGGCTTCAGTCATATAAATAGGATTCAACAGATTCAGATCCCAAAGAGCCAAAAGTCTCATTACCAGCTGTAACATCCTGCTGGGAACAGCTTTTGGCTGTACAGCAGCTTCTTGGGTCTAGAAATGATCAGGTTCAACATTTGTGAATGAGCCCTTTGGATATAAAGTCAAATGTAATCAACAGGGAAAAGTGGCCCAATGTGGGAGTATGACATCATCCCATTCTACAACCTGAAAACCGCTAATAACTGGTAAACTCTCCACGGGAAAAAAGTTACATATTGGATCTTTAACAAGCTGTTCAGAAGTCAAGTGCACGTGCTGTAGGTGTCACAGCGCAGCGGACGTACCAGTAGATGAGGGACAGTCCGTCGAAGCGTTCGAGCTCTCGGTTGCGCTCCTTCAGCAGAGACATGCCGCCGCCGCTCCGTGCGTCTCCTCCGGTGTGTGCGCTCCAGGATTGTTCAGAAGCCGCATGCCCATCCGCACGCTGTCCACGCGCTCCCCGGTGTGTGTGTATGTGTGTGTGTCAGCAGAGGCGGAGGAGCGCTCCTGGGGCGTACAGTGGAGCTCTGCTGACGGGGACTGTCCTCCGTGCGCAGGTCTGAGCGCTGCAGAGGCCTGGCTGACTCGACTGTCTTATCATCATTAGTTCACATCATTCACTGTAGGTTTAAACATCAGGATTCTGTATTCATGTACTAACTGTGGAGGTACAACATGTAGAGGAACTTTTAAGCACCAGACTTCAACTCTCTCTTGAGTGAGTTTTCATACACTCTTACTTGAGTAAAAGTTGTGCTTCTCTTCCCTCTGTGAGTGAGTCTGAAGTGACAAAAGTTGTATGTGACAATCTGAAATGATTTGAACATTTGTGTTTCTTGCAGCTCTTCAGACCTGGGGCCTCATTTATAAAAACTGCGCAGGAGTTGTAGTAAGTTAGAGTGTACGCCTGTAGCTACGAGAGGCGTGCGCCACGCAAACTCCATATTTAGAAAACCCACCGCACGCACCAAACCACACAATCTTTGCTTTATAAATCCCACCTGCAACTAGAATTTGCTCACATAAACCCACGTCACGTCACGCCCTCTCCACACCTCCACCTCACCATAAAAGGAGCATGTAAAGTGACTCGTGAATGAGATTTCCCTAAACATGAGCCGATAATCAGTGGGTTTGACCGAGACACGCGGGACAGAGGGAGGAGGACGGCTCCACGCAGCATCACGTGATCACGACAAAGACTTTATTGAACAAGCTTTAATAAATAAATACAAAACTAAAAGTGACAACAATGACTCATCTGTTCATTTAATCATATGATACAAGGGCACAGATTTAGCATGAAACACATCAGATACAGATGTTATTCTGCCAATTAAAGTCCACACGAAACATCCAAACTGCTGAACCTGTGAGTGTGGGTCTGGGTCTGTGAGTGTGGGTCTGGGTCTGTGAGTGTGGGTCTGTGAGTGTGGGTCTGGGTCGGGACGGGCACGGGCATTATTCTGTTCTTCATACAGTCAGAGAGCAGCTCTCATGTACAAGAGTTCTCCATTACACAGAAATGTAGGGAAGATTTTTGGTTGGGGTCAGGTTCGGGCAGTGGGCTTCGTGTTGTCCGCAGACTCGGGTCACTCTGGGCGCTCGAAGTGCGTAAAGACTAAAGTAAAAGTGTTAAAGTTGCGTTCATTAAATCAAAGTCTGGCTCCTTCTGCGTCCAAGGGAAGGGTTTTCTCTCATGTCGGGTCATTATTTCGTCCTCTGTGTTGGTCACAGACTGTGTTTTGTAGAAGTCTGTGGTCGCGGTGTGGACTGTGGGAACTCTGCGCTGCACCGGGTCCGGGAACGTGGCCTCGCTCGTGCACGAGTTTCAAATGTATAATATTGTGGAGAATAATGAGTGGAATAAACAGCCCTTCTCCATGTTGCCCTTCTCCATGTTTTGGTGAACCAAACACTTAAATGCACATATCTGAAGGTAATTCTTCTGTATACGTGGATTTTCTGATCAAACACTTCCTCAGACTCTGTTCACTTCTGCTTCTCTCCACGTGTGTCGCTTTTTCCCCGTGTCCCCAGACTTTGCGTAGAGCTTACAGGAAAATAATTGAGAAGCACTGGCGTAGAGTTAAGCAAAGTGCCACGCTTTAGTCGAGGTTCATAAATACCGCGGTTGGCGTAGAGAGCGCGTACGCAAGGATTTTTGCGTAAGCGAGATTTATAAATGAGGCCCTAGATATTGTGACTTATTTCATCTTTTGTCCAAATACATTCACTTCAAATGATAACTCAGCAGTTATGTCCTGACAGTTACTCTTGAAGTTACTCTTACTTATGTAGTTTTCCCAAATACTTTTGTTGTTTTTTTGTTTTGTTTTTTCTAGTTGCTTTGGCACTTTTATGACATTTGCAATAACGGCTCACACAAAATCCTAAACAGAACTTTTGTTTTCTGAAACTAAATTTAATTTCAGCAAAATGCAGTGTTTCCATTCAAAACTGATTACCTAAAAGCAAGTTTGACCATCCAAACTCCCAGACTTTGCTCATGTGCTTTTCTCTGCTCTTTATTCCTCTCACACTGCAGTTCCAAGTTTGACTTCTGCTCTCACCTCAGACAATCACTGATTTGTGGTTCATAATAAGTAAACTACAGATCTAGTGACTTCAGAGCTGTTTAAAGCTGCTGACTGTCACATTTCACCAGAGCTGTTGTTTGTGGAAAAAGTGTGTGTGACATGATGTGTGGACATTGTCAGTATAAATACACTGGATAATCTCTGATTTCAAACAGCATGTTAGTTGCTCAGGTGTTGCGTCAGCTGCATGAGTCCATGAGTCAATCGTTTTGGTACATTTTTTGAAACTGGATTTAGTTTCATCATCTGATTCAAACATGTATCTGAACAGGAGTACAGCTGCTCCCATCATGTGAAACACTTCTCATCAGTTCACACACTTCTCCTGCTCTTGCTCAGAACACTTGACTCTCATTCACAAACACACATGGTCATTTTGACTTGTTGATTCAGTAACACTGTTCTGTTCACAAAAGCTAAAACATTCTGTTTCTGTTGGGTAGAACATTATTCCCATTTCATTGTTTTCACTCATGAATAACGGGGAAATTGCAATACATCTCAGCAGATAACAATTACTTTTAATTTCAGTATTCATATATTTTTGGTAAAAAATAAGCGATACAAAGTAATCAGATGAACTGAGGACAGCTGTTTTCATCTTTCACATATTAACAACCAGATGATCTGGATAAAAGGTCTCACCTCTGAGGAGGACTTGTAAACATGGACAAACAGAGGAGTGAGAGGCTTTGGCAGAGGAGCCAGAGGAAGAGGAGGATGAGAGCTGGACGACCCGGACAACCTGTTCAAAGACAAGAACATGTAATGTGATAAGAACAACTATAAGTGACAAGTGTGATAAACCCTGGTTCAACACAGAGGGGCGGGGCTAAGTACAGAGGCATCTACTGTCAACTTTTTTCATGGAGAGAACAGGTAAGTTTTCTTTTGCTGCAGTCACTTTCATGTAATGCTCATGTTTATCAGAAAAAGTATGAAATAAAGGAAAACACAAATGACTTTGGAAGCATGCAAAAGTGCTTTATGTACTGTATTTTCTTTCATGTGGACACGCCTTTCCAGTGTAACTCAGCACAAACGAAGGAGACTTGAGTTCAGTAGGTGCAGGTGAGGAAATTCATTCTCTCTCTCTCTCATATATATATATACATATACATATATAAGGGGTGTCAAATTATTGCGTTAATTGCGATTAATTAATTACAGTCATATTTAGCGCGTTATGTTTTTTAATCGCGTTAATCTCATTTTTAATCTCCAACTTTAGTGTTTCTGTATGTGAGTTGCTTTATTATAAAACCTGTTTTTATGTGTTGTTGGGACAACAACACACACACACGCACAAACAAAACACACATTTATACATTGTTTTAATTTCGGCAATTCCACTCATTGTCGGAAACCCACACAAAACACGCGCAATAAGAGCGACGTTTACGGCGTCAGTCGCACAATGGACGAGGTCGAAGAGCCAGTAGAACAGAGGCAGCAGTGCACAGGGAAAAACACATTCGTGTCTTGGAAATTATTCTCCCGACGTGAAATATAAAAGAAAATAACAAATATAATATCGCCTACAACTTAAAATGTCACTTGTGTGAAAACAACCTGCATAGGCTCATGATGTCTGCACTAGTGTCCTATAGTGACCTGCCACATGAGGGAACACGCACACAACGCACACACACAAACACAAACATAAACACACACACACACACAAACACACACCTTCATCATCGTCATTAACCTGAGAACACGCGGACCACGTTTCCTTCCGTAGACACTGCGCGGACACCGACGTGCTCCCGTGAGCCGCGTGTGGATCGTGTTTTCTCGCGTACGCTGCGTAAACCGCGCTTCCTCCTGTGCGCCTCTAAACCAGAACTAACACCAAGACTAAAACCAGGACTAAACCAGGACTAAACCAGAACTAAAACCAGAACTAAAACCAGGTCTAAACCAGGACTAAACCAGAACTAACACCAGGACTAAAACCAGGACTAATTCAGTCAGGACTAAACCAGGACTAAACCAGGACTAAACCAGAACTAAAACCAGGACTAAACCAGGTCTAAACCACAACTAACACCAGAACTAAAAACAGGACAAAACCAGGTCTAAACCAGAACTAACACCAGGACTAAAACCAGGATTAATCCATTCCAGGACTAAACTAGGACTAAAGTAGGACTGAAGCAGGTCTAAACCAGGACTAAAACAAGGACTAAAACCAGTGATCTCATATATAAAGCATTTCTCTATCAATAATATTTTTAATATGGTTAAGGAAAGACTGGACTTTTTATTGTCTTTAAGTTGACAAACGTTATTATGTTCAGATTTCCTCGTCTTTGCTACTTTACAGCAAACAGTTTCTTATTCATGGAGACTTGGGCTCAACAGCCAATTTGGAGAGATTTGTTAAACAATAAATGACTTTATAAAGTCACTTTTTTGTTCTATATCAGTCTTTTGATCTGCCACAATAATGTAATAATGAATTTAAATGAAAATACCTCAAATTGAAGGCTTTTGTCAGCAATTTTTAGGTGAGATTAAAATTAGATTAATTAGATTAATTAATTATGACCTGTAATTAATTAATCTCTCAATTTTTTTTATCGCATGACAGCACTAATATATATATATATATATAGACACACACATATATAGTTATTGTATACTTTTTAGTGTATTGTACTACTCCTCTTTCTTGACTGCAATTAGCTGATGGTGAAATGATGGTGTGCTCTGCCACATACTGAGAGAGGGTCCTTCAAATACTCAGCACCCTCTTGCTGAATAATGTTAGAGACCATATAATGTCTGTAACGTAT